CCAGGGCTGGGGGAGCCCCTCAAGCTGGCAGGCAGGTGGCCATCCCAGAGCAGGGGAGTCACAGGACAGCTACAAGCCCCCTCTGACCGCCAATCCCAATACTGGACCTCTGGGCCCACCCTCCTCTGCCAACAAGGCTGCATGCGCTCCAAGTCACCCTCCACCCACCCTACCCACCCCAGCACGGATCCAGCCCACAGGGGTCTTCTGAGAACCTACTTAGGGCCAGCAGCCAGGTACCGCTCAGAGGTGACAACAGAGAACCAGACAGTGGCAGTCCCTGCCCCCAGGGACCCCAGTGAATGAGCAGACACAGGACAAGCCACAGAGACGGGAGCTGGGCAGGTGCTCAGGGAACACCTGTGGCCCGAGACAACCTGCCAGCACAGGTAGAGACCCTGCTGGCCGCGGCCGTGATTCACCAGGGTTGGCCAGCTCCACCCTCTGGGCAGCACTCGGGCACAGAGGGCTGCCTGCTGCAGTGGCCTTGGCTCGGCTGCCACCCCGAGCTTCCTCACAGGCAGCTGTGGTCATCACTGCCTGGCCAGGCTGTCCAGCAAAGTACACCATACCTCCCACAGAGCCCAGTTCCTCACAGTGTCCCCTTCTCAGCTGGGAGGCCAGATGGGCATGGGCTGCTCTCCTCCTTCTAACCTTGGGGAGGTGTTGGGTGCCCCTGCAAAGGCTGGGTCACCTGAGCCCAGTGGGCACACCAGCAGGCCTCCGGCTTCAGGCCCACATCCTCCGAGGAGAGACCTCTTCCCGGGTAAGGCGCTGGCCCCCAGGATCCAGGGCACCCGGGAGGACCCTGCCACCAGGAGCCACCAGAGGGCGCCCGGTCCTAGGAGGCTGAGCCTGGTGGCACAGAGCAGGAGGGGATGTGGGCTTGGCTGTCCCTAGGACTGCCACTCCCCTGGGAGGTCACCCTGTTCCCCTCGACTCACATGGCACATATAGTCTCCCCACTGTCCGGTGCCTGGCGGAGTGCTCTCATCTTTTGGGGACTGTAGCAGGGTACAGTCATGGAGCTTCTGGGGAGAGTGGCAGGCCCTCGAGGTAAACCAGCAGGGAGGACACAAAAGCCCAAAGCCCACCCCATCTTACATGCCGCAGGAGGATGCACTTGAACCCAGAGCAGGTTCCAGCCCATGGCCAGTGTGACCCTGGAGACAGCGCAGGCAGCCACATGTCCAGGCTGAGGAACAGCACCCATCACGGACGTCAGGCAATTGCTCTGCATCCCTGACCCACTGCTCCCCATCCCTGGCAGCCACATCCTGGTCAGTCCACCCCACCTCTCCAGCCTGCCCTCTCTGCCCTTGGCAGCTGCCCACTCTGCCACTCTGTGTCTAACTTTGAACAGCAGCAAGTTCAGGAGACCCTGGGGAGGCGCCAGCTGGGGGGCATGTGTTCACCAGGGCTGTGGCTCGATGGCTTCTCAGGAGAACACCCTCCAAGCCCCCAGGCTGGCATCAGGCAGCCGCTGCTCAGCCACTGGGGGTGTGTGTGAGGGGGGTCCCCAGAAAGGCCAGGATGGGAACAAGTTCCCGTGTGGGCAGAGCACTAGCCAACCTGTGCCAGGCCCCTGTGCTGCCAGGCACCCAGGTGTGCCACCTCTCAGACAAACAGGACCAGAGAGGCACAGGAGGCAGCTTGATGATGACAGGCATTGTCTCCAGGAGGAGCACAACAAGCCTGTCCTGGGGACTGAGAGGGGCCCGTCCAGAGTCAGGCTGAGGGGAGAGCTGTGGGTCGTGCCCCTCCTGTGAGGCAGAGCTCCAGAGCCTGGCCACCTCCACGTGCCATCAGGATGCCATAGTGTGGTAGTTCCACAGTCCCCAGGTCACTACTTGAGTGCAGCCCCTCCAGGGCACATCCTCACCCCCAGGGCCTCCAGAGGACCCTGGCCTGCTCTACCCTGGCCACTGTGCTCCAGAGTGCTTCACGGACCTAGGAAGGCTCCTCATGTTCTTTGAAGCCTGAGATCTGGGCGATCCTGAGCACAGTAGGGTCCCACAGTCCCAAGCTCACATACAATTCTGTCCGCAACGCTCCTCCGGCCGGCAGGGAAGGGAGGGGAAGGGCAGCTGCAGGGATGAGGCCGCCGCCAGGAGGGCCGCTCTTCTTACAAAGAGATGACGAGGCCCCTGGGCGGGATCCAAGGCGCCGACCACCTGCAGCTGGGCTCGGGGCTTCGGGCGGGCCCCAAGTGCCGCCAGGACCCATTCGAGGGGGCTGGGCGCCAGCGGGCACAAGTTCCTCGCAGGAATCCCCTGCGAGCCCTGGCCCAGGTCGCACAGAAGCGCACAGCCGGCTCATCACTTCTCCACCACCACTCAGGAGAGGATCTGCCCACAAAACCCATCTAGGCTGTCGCTGTTGGGGATCCGCGGGAATCCCTGGGCAGGACCCCTGACTCTCCCGGCCAGGTCCACAGTGGAGTCTAGTTTTAGATCACGGTCATCTGCGCCCGAAAGCCCCACCGCGCTGAGACCCGGCAGCGCCCAGGCAGCCCGCTCCGCAGCTCCC